TTATTAGTAGTTTTATTTTCTGACGAATTTTTATGTGTCTACTTCTAAATAGTCCTTAAAATTTTTGATTATATAAGGCTATCAAGCACTCGCCATTGTTAACAGTTTCTTATGTTTCCTTCCTGAAACTTAAGACTTTTGATGAGAATATAAAACCATTGCATTTTAAAATCATTGCATTTAACAATGAGAGAATTAAATAAGTGCCCTAATAGAATAGGAACATATACGGGGATTTCAATAAAGTATTCTCTCTGATAGAGAGAGGAGAGATTGGTGATACTGTTACTGGACAGTAGGATTGACTGGGTATTGAAGATTAAGGAAAATTCCAACAAAGGAAGCGGGGATAAGGGCTCAGAGAATATCATAATCAAGTTACGTAGTTGTGATAGCTAGAGTCAGCTTATATAGGCTCACAAGAACTGATTGTTAAATTTTTAAGACTTTCGTGAGCTGACTTTTATGCACAGCTACTATTAAAAATTAAATTATATAAACAGACTAAAGTATATTTAAAAATCATCACTTCCTTTTTTTTTTTTTTTTACTATATCTTACTATTATCTATGCCCTTGAGGTTATTTATGGCTATTGTATCTGTATGGTGGAAATATAAGTGTGCTACACACATCTCTTCCCAATTCCAAGTTCAGTGGTATTATGTTGGTAGTTTGAAACAGGTCATGGTGGGAGTATTTATACCAGGAAAATCAGCAAACACTACAAATCAGGGCTTGATTTATTGTTTTGTTGATTGTCTAGATTTAAGAAAAGGATGGAGAAAATGTTAATACAGATTAAATTTAAAAGCATGCTGTATCTGTGATGGTTACATTATGAATAGCATAACCAAAAAAGTTAGGAAATATTCTTCCAGTATTCAAAAACTATTACTCAGTTCAGCAAGGAAGTTGATCATATCATTGCTGAAAGAGTGAAGTTACAATATACATCTCAGTTGTTTCACTTTCACTTTACTCCTTAACAAAAATATCAACCAACATTCATGTTGGAATTACACTCATTGGTCAACTGCAACCATATGTTGACTATGGATATAAGAGTTTTTAGCAAAAATCAACACAAGTATTCTGTGAGAATCAATTGGCTATATGAAATTTTCAACAGACTATTGTATAGTTTTTTTTGTAATAATTAAGAAGATGTGCTACACCTCCTTTAGCTCAGAAAAAGTTTTATATATATATGTATATATACGTGAGTGTGTGTGTGTGTTCTTGTTGTTGTTAGGTGCTGTCCAGTAGGTTCTGACTCAGCGACACCATGTACAACAGAATGAAACACTGCCTGGTTCTGTGCCATCCTCATAATCGTTGTTATGCTTGAGCCTGTTGTTATGTTTGAGCCCATTGTCGCACCCACCGTGTTAATCCAGCTCATCGGGGGACTTCCTCTTTTTGATGACCCTCTACTTTACCAAGCATGATGTCCTTCTCCAGGGACTGATCCCTCCAGATAACATGTCTAAAGTATGTGAGATGAAGTCTCACCATCCTTGCTTCTAATGAGCATTCTGGTTGTACTTCTTCAAAGTCAGATTTGTTCATTCTTTGGCAGTTCATGGTATATTCAATACTTCTTGCCAACACCGTAATTCAAAGGCATCAATTCTTCTTCAGTCTTCCTTATTCATTGTCCAGCTTTCACATGCATATGAGGTGATTGAAGATATCGGCTTGGGTCAGGGGCACCTTAGTTTTCAAGGTGACATCTTTGCTTTTTAACACTTTAAAGAGTTCTTTTGTAGCCGATTTGCCGAATGCAATGCGTCTTTTGATTTCTTGACTGCTGCTCCCATGGGCGTGATTGTGGACCCAAGTAAAATAAAATTCTTTACAACTTCAATACTTTCTCTGTTTGTCATAATTTTGCTTATTGGTCCAGTTGTGAGGATTTTTGTTTTCTTTATGTTGAGATGTAATCCATACTGAAGGCTGTGGTGCTTGATCTTCATCAGTAAGTGCTTCAAGTCCTCTTCACTTTCATCAAGCAAGGTTGTGTCATCTGCATAACGCAGCTTTTTAATGAGTCTTTCTCCAAACCTGATGCTGCATTCTTCTTCATACAGTTCAGATTCTCAAATTATTTGCTCAAAATACATATCGAATAAGTATGGTGAAAGCATACAACCCTGACACACGTCTTTCTTGACTTTAAACCATGCAGTATCCCCTTGTTCTGCTCGAACAACTTCCTCTTCGTCTATGTACAGGTTCCTCATGAGGACAATTAAGTGTCCTGAAATTCCCACTCTTCACACTGTTATCCATAATTTGTTATGATCCACACAGTCGAATGCCTTTGCATAGTCAATAAAACACAGGTAAACATCTTTCTGGTATTTTCTGCTTTCAGCCAAGATCCATCTGACATCAGCAATGATATCCCTTATTCCATGTTCTCTTTGGAATCCAGCTTGAATTTCTGACAGTTCACTGTTGATGTATTGCTGCAACCACTTTTGAATGATCTTGTGCAAAATTTTACTTGTGTGTGTAATTAATGATACTGTTGATAATTTCCTCAATTTGTTGGCTCACCTTTCTTTGGAATGGGTACAAATACGGATCTCTTCCAGCCAGTTAGCCAGGTAGCTGTCTTCCAAATTTCTTGGCATAGGCGAGTGAGCAATTCCAGGGTTGCATTCATTTGCTGAAGCATCTCAATTTGTGTTCCGTCAATTCCTGGGGCCTTGTTTTTCGCCAATGCCTTCACTGCAGCTTGGACCTCTTCCTTCAATACCATCGGTTCTTGATCATATGCTACCTCCTGAAAAGGTGGATCGTTGACCAATTCCTTTTGGTATAGTGACTCTGTGTATTCCATCCATCTGCTTTGATGCTTCTTGCGTCATTTAATATTTTCCCCGTAGAATCCTTCAATATTGCAATTTGAGGCTTGAATTTTTTTCTTCAGTTCTTTCAGCTTGAGAAATGCCGAGCATGTTCTTCCTTTTTGATTTTCTGTCTCCAGGTCTTTGTACATTTCATTATAACATTTTACTTTGTCTTCTCAAGCCGCCCTTTGAAATCTTTTGCTCAGCTCTTTTACTTCATCATTTCTTCCTTTCACTTTAGCTAATCTATGTTCAAGAGCAACATTCAGAGTCTCTTCTGACATCCATTCTGATCTTTTCTTTCTTCCCTGTCTTTTTAATGACCTTTTGCTTTCTTCATGTATGATGTCCGTGACATCATTCCACGACTCCTCTGGTCTTGGTCATTAGCGTTCAACATGTCAAATCTATTCCAAACTAAATCAGACTAGGAAGAAAAGCCTTGTGATCACTTCTGAAAATTAGCCAGTGAAAACCCTATGAATAACAACAGAATATTTTCCAATATAGTGCTGGTAGATGAGCCCCCTAGGTTGGAAGACACTCAAAATACACAACGGCTGCAATGATGGACTCAAGCAAACCAAAGATTGTGAAAATGTCACAGGACTGGGAAATATTTCATTCTGTTGTACATGGGGTCACCATGGGTTAGAGCTGACTTGATAGCAACTAAGAACACACACACACACACGTATATATATACACACACACTCTACTGGCAAATACATTCTAGGAAATGTCACAAATTGATTAGTGTTATGAAAACATGGAGTAAATTATATATGAGCGCAGAGATGTATATTTTAGCTCAGCTAGTGGGATGGTTAATCCAGGCTGGAGATTCTGAGGACCCGAATTTGTGCAGTGGCCATAAAAATAGAGAAGTTTATACAGTTTCTAGGGAGTATCTTTTGACTTCTTGGCTGTAGCTGATCAACACCTGGACTGCCCATTGATACTGGAAGAAAACCACACATCTGTGAAAGTTGGAGCACTACACTTTAATGCTTTTCCAAGAGCGGGACCAGTGTATCACCAGTCAGCTACCTGTCTCCCACCCTCTTGGATTTTATTCTCAACTCACTGCTCTTATAATTCTCTCTTTTCTATTCCTTGTCTATGCCTCAGCAGATGATCTTGCCTCTCCTGTGTACCCACATCTGGTCAGTCACCAAATCTTGGCCTCCAGGTCATCTTTCCTCTTTTCTTTCCCCACAACATTGCCTCAGTTCGGATGCTTATCAGTTCTCTTTACAAATCTCCTGGCTTTTCGTTTGGCCCTCTGATCATCCTCTACCCTGTTGCCCCAGTGATCTTTCTAAATCTCACAATGTCACATTTTTGCTTAAAATTGTACCATGGCTTTCCATGGCTTTCGCATCAAGTTCAGATCCTTTCCTTAGCATACCCTTGCCTGGCTCTCTAGTCTAAACCTTCCACAATCCCCTCATCGGCACCTTTGTGCTTTTCACACGGAATTAGTCCCTTGCCTCTGTCCTATGCTTCATGCACTGTCTGTTCCTCTCTCTGGAATCTCCTTACCCACTTAGCAAACTTTTCCTTGTCCTTCAAGCCTTAGGGCCAGAATTAGTTTTCCAGGAAACTTTCCCAGACCCCTTCTGATTTGGATACCCTCCTCTGTGCTCCAATCGTGTGCCTCCCTGTGCTTAACTCTGCCCCTGCCCATATTACACGAGCACTATGCAGTAATTTTGTTTACTGTTTTGTCTCTCCTGCAGTCTGTGTCATAAACATCTTTTTTTACTTCCCTGCTATGGTTGGGGCTTGTCTCATAACAGGACTTTTTAACTGATTGTTTAAATAATTAATTTTAGAAGTAGAACCACAGAGCTTAGTGAGCCCGAGGACGGAGAGGCGGAAGACCTTTCTAAGGCGTCTATAATCAGGCAGTAGAGAGATTCTGTGATTCAGTAGTGGCCAGGGCGACCTCTCTGTGAACTGAAGCTGAAGGAAAAGTTACTTTGCCAGTCCTGCTTCCTGGGTCACGGAGCCAATAGGCGAACTGGAGAGGTGGAGCCGAATAGAGGAGAAAGAACTACACTTCCCGTCATACCCCCTGTTTCCCCTCTTTGTCACCGCCTCTTCACCACGGAAGTGAAAGGAAAACTTCCGGTTTCGGCAAGGAATCTGGAGCCGGCGGCGTTGGGTTGGTTCTGTTTGGTTTAGCTCGGAAGCTTCGTGTTTGCTCCGTTTTTTCTGGAAACCCACCTTTGCTCTAGGCTGTGGCGAACAGGTATTTCTCGGCCGCAGTGGGTGTCTCCGGTGCAGCACACGAAACCCTTCTCCAGTGGAGACTCAAAGTTGGGGCAGGGCGCGGCCTGTGGCACGGGGCAGGGGAGCCAGTTACCGGTGTCGTAGACTCGGCACTGACGGTTTATCTCTTTCTTCTTCTCTTTGGCGATCGCAGCGTCCCAGAAGCCTGTGTGAGTCCGCCATGGCAGATACGGCCCCGAACGGCCCCCAGGGGGCGGGCGCAGTGGTAAGTGCGTGGGCAGGGTCGCCTGGCTTGAAGCAATAAATGGGAAGGAGCTGGAAGTGTTACGAGCCGGTCTCTAGGCGCCCCAGAAGCTCAGTGTTTTCAGGACTGGGATTAGGATGGGGGAAGGGGGCGGTTAGGAGAGGGGAGATTGTGAGGAAGATACCGAAGGAGCTACAAGCTTCTGTTTCGGAAGGAACCATGGGAGCAGGTGGGCGCTCACCTGCGTGCAGTGGATACTGGGCCTCTTCCCTCCCCGTGGTCCCTTATTGTCGTAGGCTTCAAGGTTGACTTTGTAACCTAAGGTTGTACGGTGACACCTCCTCTCATTCCATATACGCGTGCGTGCAGAGAACGTTTCTGACCACTTTATCCATGATATTAAAATAACGCAGAGAGGAGAGCAATCTTTTTTTTTCTTTTTCTTTTCTTCACTTTGTTCTTCTTGGCGAAGAGAAATATTACTGCGCTTTTGTAATTTTTTTGTTTGTTTTTAATATACTGATCTGTAGCTTTCTAGTTATTTGTGCCCAGTGAGTATGTTAATCAGGCGAGTCACTTTTTTTTTTTTTTTGACATTTTGCAACATCTGTGTGTATACACGCACTTTTTTTTCTTTTTTCTTTTGCGGAACCATTTGAGAGTTGCAAGCATCATGATACTTAACCCATAAATACTTCGGTATTCTTCTGCATGACCACAATGCAGTTATCCCATTTGGGAAATTTAACATTGATACATGTTATTAGCTAATACACAGTCCATATTCACATTTCCTCAGTTGTTCTGTAAGGCTGTTTACCTCTCAGCTTTCAAAGGGAGCCAATCAAAAAAGCATGCATTGCCTATACTGGCCATCTTTTTAGTCTCTTTTAATCTAGAACAGTTGCCCTGCTCCTCCGCTCTTTTTTGTTTTTCTTGATACTGATATTTTTGAAGAGTCTAGACCTATTGTTTTGCAGAATGCTCCTCAAATTGCATTTGTCTGATTTCCCCACCTCATGATTAGACTCAGATTAAACATTTTGGCAAGAACGTTACATAAGTGATAATCATGTCCTCCTCAGTGCATTTTATATATATATACGTCAAGAAGCACTTTATGTCACATCAGTGGAGATGCTAGGTTTAATTATTTGGTTAAGGTGGCAACCACCAGATTCTCTGTTGTAAAAAATACCTTTTCTCTTTGTAATTAAAAGTGATTCTATGATACTTTGAGACTATGTGAATTTCTTATTCCTCAACAATTTTTCACCCAAAGATCTATTGATGTTTTTTGCCTGAACTGTTTATTAGTTGTGCAGTTACTATTACTATAGTCGAGCAGTTCACTCTGAAAACATAAACAAATAAATTTTATGAAATAAAATACACATAGAAAAGTGTAGAAACTGAAATGCTTTATCACAGAATGGATATCCCAAACAAGTAGGTTTTAGACCGTTCTAAAATTAAATTTTAAAGTATAGCGTAGAGTGTATTTGTAGAGAAACTGAGCACAGTAAGCGAGATTCATTCTTTTACTTAGTTACTGCTGATCATTTAAGTTTAGAGGAGTGTGGTAGGCTCTGTATAGAATAAACCAGAGACATATTTTATATTTCTCAAATGACCTGCATATCATAAAAAAGGCATGTAATACAACATCCTTGAACTTTAAAATGTACTTGAATTTTTCTCTTCAAAATATTTGTGTATGTTTTTTTAAAAGATAATTAAGATAGCTTAGAGCAGTGTTTTTAGACTTTAGGTTAAGACTCAGTGAGCTTTGAAATCAGTTTAGTGGACCACAACCAACTACTTTTTTCAAAAATAAAATAGAAAATATCAAAGTCCATTATACGTAGTATGGACAAGTGTTGTTTTGTGAAACTTATTTATATTCCTACCTATGTTTGTATTGGGTCTCAGTGTAAAAATTATTTATGTAGATCCTATGCAAAACTATAAAAGCCACTTTGGGATTTGAAAATATGTCTTGAATGAGAAGTTATAACTTTCGTGGTAATGGACACATGCTTTGGAAAAAAGTAGCAAAGGAGAAGTTTTTTAATAGAAAAAATGAGAAAAGATGGAGAAGAAAATAGTATATGGACATTTCATCTAGGGCTACTGGGTTTGTGGGACAACTTGGAGGGCATGAAAAGAGTCATATAATCTGAGAAGGCAGGTGCCCTATAATACCCACAGCTATATTTTGAGCACTTTAGTATGCCATGCCTTTTTGTACTAGGCAAATCATCCGAAGCTAATTAGTTCAATGCTAAGTGACTGTTACCATGGTTTTATGTTTCTACTTTGTCAGGTTTATTTAATCCAAACTGGCATTGTGTGATGTGTTCTTACTCAGATCTGAGACCTACCTATTCAAATCTGAGATTTTTCTAAGAATAGGCATATGATTCTCTCGAGAGCAATTAGTTCTTATTTAATGTTCTTTTAAAATAGATGAAGCATATATTACAAGTGTAGAAGAAATACAGACAATTGTAGTTGAATTTTTGTTGAGATTTTTCTTTCCTAGTTATTTTTTTTAGATGTCAACTGATTTTTTTTTACTTAAGTACTTCCTGTGCTTTCCTCATGAAAACTGTAAGATGTTTGGGCTCTTTAATGAGCGTGTACACGAAGCAGTAAATTGCCTTAGAGTTTTCACTAAGAAACAAATGGCTATACGTCATCAAAACGTTTTGAATAGGAATAAAACTATGTAATCTTCATTCTTAAAAATGTAATCTGCAGGCGTGCTTTACTACAATGTATATTTTTTTCAATCTAGCAATTTATGATGACCAATAAACTGGACACGGCTATGTGGCTTTCTCGCCTGTTCACAGTTTACTGCTCTGCTTTGTTTGTTCTGCCTCTTCTTGGGTATGTATTATACATATTTCTGCCTTTGATATTCAATTATGTGGTCAATTTTTATGGAATGCCTTTTAGCTAGATGACCTGTTAAACTGTAAGGGGTTCAGGGACAAATAAAATGTAAGTCCTGCCCTTAAGGGTTTAATAATCTATTATGATGAACTGGTGAAATACTTTGTATCTTATGCTTTGCTGTAACTAATAGCACATTACAAATCTCCAGAAATGGATGGGTGGGATGAGATGAGTTCGTGGTTTTTTTACAATTTTGCCTTTTTTTTTTTTTAACTTGCCATGACGAATGACTGCTTTGTAAAATTTATTTGGATATGTATATGAAGTGATGCTTCTAAGAAGGTAGAATAAGTTCAAGTAATTTTTTTCTACTGACTACTAAATAATAGATTTAGGTGTTGGGCAATCTGATGCAATTCACAAAGGAGGAAGAGATGGTAGTTGTTTATGTCTCCTGATAACCCCTCGTCTGGTAATTTGCAGGTTGCATGAAGCAGCAAGCTTTTACCAACGTGCTTTGCTAGCAAATGCTCTTACTAGTGCTCTGAGGCTGCACCAAAGATTACCGCACTTCCAGTTAAGCAGAGCATTCCTGGCCCAAGCTTTGTTAGAGGACAGCTGCCATTACCTGCTCTATTCTCTCATCTTTGTCAACTCCTACCCGGTTACAAGTATCCTTTTTTTAACATGTTTCCAATGAAATTGCCTACTAAGCACACACGAGATTTTTTCTGATTATTTCTTGTTATAGGAAGAATTCAGCAATGAGGACCTTCTGTGAAGGCTGGGTTTGTTGGTTTGTTTGTTTGCATTCATTTGAATGAAGATAACATTTAGTGTGAGAATGCCTTACTTAAAAATGTGAAATCTAAACATTGGAGAGCTAATTTGGAAATTTTAAACTGTGTGTGTCTTTTTTCTTCTTTTAACACTTCTCTGTTAGAAATGGATATTTTAAAATTTCAGATTTAAAGCACAAGCCTATGTAGGACTTATTTAATATTTAAATTTTTCTTTAATTCACATCTTTGAGAAAGTGTCCGGGTGTCTCTCTTTCCACTCTTAACTCCATGGAGCTGGAAACAAATGAAAATAAGTCAAGAAGTAACTTATTTAAGCAATTAAAAAGTTAAAACAATTAAAAGGAATTGGAATTTGCTATGGATAGAGTAGAAAATAAGGACACATGGATACTCCCTGAAGATAGTGAGAGTTAAATAACTCATTTAGAATTTGTAGATTTAAGCATTTCAAAAGTGTGTGGGATGATCCCACCCTCAACTGCTGTTGAGTTGATTCCAACTCATGGTCAGCCTATAGGATGGAGTAAAACCGCCCCGTAGAGTTTCCAAGGCTGGATTCTTTCTGCAAGCAGACTGCTGCATCTTTCTCCTGTGGAGTGGCTGGCGGTTTTGAACTACTGACCTTTCGGTTAGCAGCCTTAATCTACAGTTAAGGAGTGAGCAATACTTACATGTAATTTAAAAATATTTCCATAAGGGTGGGGGATGTGTGTGGATTCTGTTTAAATTCCTTGCTTTCCCAAGAAAATATCAGTGATTGGCAACTCTAGGATAAAGGTTTTTTTTTTGTATTTTAGAGCATGGCTCTGTAATGTCCCTTCATAATTTGTTTGTTGTTTGGTAAAACTTGCAGATGATTTTGGTGAAACTCACTGGATAATTGTACTACAGCTGTAAACAGTAATCATGTTTGTTTGGTATATTATTGGATTGATCAATCTGCTTTTGTCAGCCACATTCATTATTGTCTTTTGCAATCAATTCGTCTCTGAGATACAATGGGAAGTTATATAGAGGTTCTTGGTTCTGCTTTAGTAGTTTAAAATTTCTTTGGTGAGAAAAGTAGAAGTGACAGAAAATGTGTTTCCAGATGATTATTATAGAACAAATTGTATACATCAGTACTATCTCTGGAGCAATGCCTGGCCCAGAGCAGATGCTCTGTAAGTTTTGTTGAGTGAATCCTGAGATGGTAAATAATGAGAATGTGACCAGCGAAGGCAACCTGCCTGCCTTTTCTATGCAGTTGATTATTTGCTAGCCCTTCTCTCATGGGAATGTTGAAGATTGAGGATTACATAGTTCTTAAATTCTTACAGGGATAAAATAGTGAGCAGTGAAAATAACAAACTAGTAATTGCCAAGAAATACTAATCTGATTCCTAAGGTAGCTTGGGTATTATGTAAATAAATAAAGGTGGGCCGAAAGTAATATTACCAAGTTGTGTTCTGGTCTTCGCTCTTACAAAGGTGATATATTATTCTTGCTCTAACACTGACAGGTACTTACGGGTTTAAGTTATAGATTTTTCACTCTTTATCTTTTTAAAGTAGTTTAACAGTGACATTGAAAGCTAAGATTATGAGTTTCTTGTCAAGGATTTGAGACTATAGAATGTTAGAGGTAAAAGACTCAGAAGTCTCTACCTTTGATCTCTATATATTCATTTAACATGGGGTGAAACTTGGCCTAGGAAAATGAGGTTAGCTAGTAGCAGAGCCAGAACGAGAAACTAGGTATCTTGACTAGCAATTCCAGGTTTTGTTTCCACTAGCCCACACTGCCTCTTTTATTGAATCAGTCTTCAAGTCTAGATATGTGTCAAAGTTTAAAATTCAATTTAAAAAGTGACAGAGTTTTACAGCACAGTTAGAAACACCTGGAACTAATTACTGTCTTACTGGAGTTTCTAAACACCCTGTGGGAGTCCACGAGTGGACTTTTTGGAGGGTGGCAGTGAATACTTAGAAGTTGTATATATATTTGGGTGCCCGGGCACACATACATTATTCTCAAGAGAGGGTGTAGATTTCATTAGTTTCAAAGGGGTCTATGATTTATTAAAAAGTTTAAAACTGTTTTTATATATGGTCTCTATGGGGTTGCCATGAGTTGGGGGCTGACTTGATGGCAGCTGACGGTACCATCACCATTCGGGAAATTGGCATTTTACTTAATGCTTCTGAGTGGCAGGGAAGAATTGGTCAGGATATTAATTTGCAGAACTATATTATTAGAGAGTTAGGATTTTTCTAGTGCTTGGGTATAGGTCTGTGTCTTGCTTGCCACTTTAAAATTAAGGAAACTTTGGATCCTAAATGAGTTATAGTTATGATGAAATTAGATTGTATTACAGCAGTCACTCTTTTCTGTCTTGCCAAGCGTTTAGTTAGTATAGAATAATATTTTTTAGGAACTTAAAGTTTATTTCTTAGGAACTTTTGATGTTTTAGAACAAGTATTTTTGCTGTTTGCGATTGACTAACAGTTTATATCATTTCATGGAAATAACTGACAGATCTGTTTTTATTAATCTGGCATAAATTGGGGTGGAGAGTGGGGTCTGTTGAACAGTTTGCATTTTTTAAAAAGTTGAATGAAAATTGTATTTTTATCTATAACATAAAGCTGAACAACTCAAATATAATCCTTTGCTTATATCTGAAATTAAATCGATGAGACTCAGTAGACTATATACTGACACAGATACATACTATCATTTGTACAGGTTGAGAACATTTATTCTAACAGCTGGATAGGTACAGTATCTCAAAATAATGGACTCCTTGTAGGAAAGAAATAATAGAAGATCGTCAGTTGAGGAAAAGTTGGAAACTGCTCTCTAAACCTCAGTCTCCTTGTCAGCAACTGAAATTGGCAAAAGCAATCCAAAAAAATTATCTCTGTGTTTGAAGGCTCTTAGAATGGCCAGTTTGGCCATTTTGGGATTAAAAACTGTGTTATTTAACCCTTTGAGGTAGCCCAGATTTTAATTTAATTTAGCAAATATTTACAGTATTTTATTAAGCAGCAGAAATAAGTGAAAAATTTTCACTATTAATTTTCTTAATAAAAAATTTGAAAACTTTAGAAAATGAAGCTGGAGTTTACTTGTAAGTTTTAACTTTCTTCTAGATAACAAATTTTCATTTGGTTATAAGATATATCAGTAAAGCACAATCCATTACACTAAACTCTGTTTTAGCAGATGTTGTTTCAGATCTGTATATTTTGACGTAATAACCTATTTTGCAACATATTTGACGAATTTAAATATTTTCCTTAATTGTTTTCTTCAGTGAGTATTTTTCCAATCTTGTTATTCTCTTTGCTCCATGCTGCCACATATACTAAAAAACTCCTTGATGTAAGTAAAATGATGCTTTTTTTTTTTTTTGACTCCTGGACTATAGATAGTTGACATAAATTTGAAAGTTCTAAGACATTTTGGCTTTTGTCACAAAAGTTTTCTCTATTTCTTACAACTTTGTTCTAAGTTAGTGATTTTGAAAGTTTTAAGTTTGAAATTTTTTATTGCTGAAGTTTCACAAAAGAGTACATTTTGTAGACAAAGATTGTATTAAGAATTACCTTTCAGTCCCCAGAGGACTTTCTGAAGTTGTAATAGATCTGTTTATTTATTTATTTTTTTAATTCTGTCTTTTAAATTTGGTAAGTTATGTTGTCAGAGATCTCTTGTTCTATTAGTTTGCAGTTCTAACATACAAGTAAATTGTAATTTATCTCTTTTATGCTAATGTTCAGAACTGCTAATTTCTTAAATTTTTTTCTGAGTACTAGATTGTAACATTAAAGGCTATTACTCAAATTTATGCACCAACCGTTAATGCCAAAGATGAAGAAGTTGAGTTTTTACCAACTTCTGCAGTCTGAAATTGATCAAACATGCAATCAAGATGCATTGATAATTACTGGTAGTTGCAGTGCAAAAGTTAGAAACAAAGAAGGATCAATAGTTGAAAAATATGGTCATGGTGATAGGCCTGGAGATTGCATGATACAATTTTGCGAGACCAATGACATATTCATTGGAAATACCTTTTTTTGACAACATAAATGGCAACTGTCCATGTGGACCTTATCAGATGGAATACACAGGAATTAAATCAACTACACGTGTGGAAAGAGACTGGAGAAGCTCAGTATCATCAGTCAGAACAAGGCCGGGGGCTGACTGTGAAACAGGCCATCAATTGCTCATATACAAGTTTAAGTTGAACCTGAAGAAAATTAAGCAAGTCCCTAAGAGCCAAAGTACAACCTTGAGTATATCCCACCTGAATTTAGAGACCATCTCAAGAGTAGATTTGACGCATTGAACACTAATGACCAAAAACTAGACGAGTTGTAGGATGACATCAAGGACATCATACAGGAAGACAGCAAAAGGTCATTAAAAAGAAAAGAGCAAAATGGCTATCAGAAGAGACTCTGAAACTTGCTCTTAAACTAAAGTAGCTAAAGCGAAAGGAAGAAATGATGATGTAAAAGAGCCAAACGGAAGATATCAAAGGGTAGCTTGAGAAGACAAAGTAAAGTATTATAATGAAATGTGCAAAGACCTGGAGATAGAAAACCAAAAGGGAAGAACAAACTCAGCATTTCTCAAGCTGAGAGAACTGAAGAAAAAATTCAAGCCTCGAGTTGCAATATTGAATAATTCTCTGGGCAAAAAATGGAACGACACGGGAATCATCGAAAGAAGATGGAAGGAATACACAGATTCACTGTACCAGAAAGACTTGATAGACATTCAGCCATTTCAGGAGGTAGCATATGATCAAGAACCAGTAGTAGTGAAGGAGGAAGTCCAGGCTGCGCTGAAGGCATTGGTGAAAAACAAGGCTCCAGGAATTGATGGAATACCAATTGAGATGTTTCAGTAAATGAATGCAGCACTGTAAGCACTCACTGGTCTGTGCCAAGAAAATTGAAAGACAGCTACCTGGCCAACCAACTGGAACAGATCCATATTTCTACCGATTCCAAACCAACAGAATGCAGAAATTATCGGAAATATCATTAGTATTATATGCAAGTAAAATTTTGCTAAAGATAATTCAAAAACACTTGCAGCAGTGTGTCAGCCGGGAACTACCAGAAATTCAAGCTGCATTCGTTTCACGTACTTTAGATACGTTATCAGGAGGGACCAGTCCCTGGAGAAGGACATCATGCTTGGTAAAGTAGAGGATCTGCGAACAAGAGGAGGACCCTCAAGAAGATGGATTGACACAGTGGCTGCAACAGTGGGCTCCAACATAGCAATGGTTATGAGAATCGTGCAGGACTGAGCAGTGTTTCGTTCTGTTGTACATTGGGTCAGCACTGAACACCATTAAAGCCTAATCTTAGGGTTGTTGTTGTTAGGTGCCATCGAGCAGGTTCCGACTCTTAATGACCCTGCCTTAGGGGGTCAGGCAGATTTATTGCATATGCAGTGAAAGTTGAGTTAAAGTATTATGTCTTATGTTGACCTTTTTTTTTTTTTTATGCTTACGACTCTTTGCTCATAGTATAATTTGGTAACAAATAGAATTATTTGGTCACAGTAGTAATTAGACTATAATTCCTACCCTTAGTTATCTAAGGGGTCACAGATATTTTAACTGGGTAGTCAGATTTTGTTATGGTTGGAAAGAACAAACCACCATTTTTTGTGAAATAATCGAATCTTTCTAAGATAAACATCTAAAAATGAAGAAAACTTTTACTAATGTTGTTTTTCTTGCCAGCTCTTTAAATAGACGAGATACAATAAAACAGGAAAGTATATTAACTTCTGCCCTTTAATAGTTTGTAGACTTTTATACCTCATTTCCAAATAATTGACTTTTGGATGTATTTCCTATTGGATATTCTGTTTATCTAAAGGAAGAAAATAATTGAGTCATTGAATGTGCTTCATTGTTTAATGTTTATTTTCTTTCTTTTTAGGCAAAGGGTTCAAATAGTTTGCCTCTGCTGAGATCTGTCTTGGATAAGCTAAATGCTAATCAACAGAATATTCTGAAATTTATTGCTTGTAATGAAATTTTCTTGATGCCTGCTACAGTTTTTATGCTCTTTAGGTAAGAATAAAAATACATTTGTTTTGAGAGCCTGATGACTAAGTGAATAAAATAAAGATAATAACTCAGATTTTGACATGCAGAGCCCATGAATCTTAGCAATCACCTAACGTAACCCTTTTCACTTTATAGCAGAGAAACTGAGACATTTGTCTTTTTATCTTCTCTTGTGATTTATTGTTTAACATTTTGAAAACTAATTAGTAATTTCACAATTATTACTTTTGAAAGACTCTCAGGAAGCCTATTCCATTCTGCCATTATTGAGATTATTTTTCTTATACTAGAAAAAAATCTTAAATATTATGGTCTTGTGGTAAGCTTTAAGCTAGTCATTGATTTTGTCTTTTGATGATGCCATAATAGTTGTCTACCAAATCTGCTTTTTTTGTTTGTGTTTTAATTATAGAAGTAATATATTAAAAAAGAAAAAGAAAAACAAACCTGTTGCCGTTGAGTCGATTCCGACTCATAGCGACCCTATAGGACAGAGTGGAACTGCCCCATATGGTTTCTGAGGAGCACCTGGTGGATTCAAACTGCCGACATTTTGGTTAGCAGCCGTAGCTCTTAACCACTACACCACCAGGGTTTCCATAATACCCAAAGCTGTGTATTTCAGAATGAACGTATACTCTATGAATTTATCCTACATACGCATGCACATGTGTGCAACAGATAAAAGGATGATCATTGTAGCTTTATTTATAATTATAGACTGGAACCATCCTAAATATTCATTAGTAACGAACTTGTTAAATAATGACGTGCATAAAATGGAATGCTTGAAGCTGTAAAAAGAAAGAAGTAATTTGTGTTGTGATGTGGGATGATCTCCAAGTATAATAAGTTAAAAGTTGAATAAGAACAGGGTAGTGCATTCCCGTTTATGTTTTGGTGTGTGTGTGTTTAAGGGCATGTTTCCTTCTGCCTGAGTTTCTTAATATTTAAAATAGGGATGATAATAATGCTACCTCCTTCCTAGGGTTGCTTCCTAAAGTTGCACTTGTGTGTATAAGTTTCTGGAAGGATATATTCAAAACCAAAACCAAACCAGTTGCTGTCGAGTCGATTGTGACTCACAGCGACCCACAGACTGCTATAACTTTGGTGAAAGGCTAAGTAAAATGATGGGAAACCTGTTTTTCAGTGAATAAAATATTAAATTTTTATTTTCTGTAGTGTGTATATTACTTTATCAGTATAAAAAGTTAAAGATTTGCCAACTAATTTATTTGGGGAAATGAATGTAACAGTTTAATGACAAGGTTATAATCACGCAAAGTATTTTTACTATGAAAGTAATGTCACAATTTAAGAAGTAAAAAGGCTCAAAAAATAACCTAAAAAACCACTCTTAGCATTTTAGTGTTTCTTTCCCAAAAAGTTTTAAAATATATATGTATTTCATATATATAATATATATGTTTTATATATAGTTTTATATTCTGCTTTTTTCAGAGTTGCCATGTAGTTTTCATAACCAAGATTTTAAATAGTTGTATACTGAGTCTATCAAGAAAATAATGTAATTTACTTAAATATTCCCCACTGTCCACATTAGGTGTTGCTGCATTTTATTTGTAATTATTTCAGTCAATATCTTCATCCAGATAACTTTTCCTAGGGAAGAACTCCAGACTTGAAATTTCATAAGCATATATATAGCTCTTTGGGTATTATAATTATACTTTTTAACGAAGAACAATAATAATACAGGCTAGGTAGATTTACCAGTGAGCCTTTGTAACTTTAGTAAGTCTTTCTGTTTATGTAAAATGAAGCATTTTTCATTTTAATATTTTATGAAGTTTTAAAACTTGATTATGAATAATTGGTGGTAATGATGGAAGCATTTATGTAACATTTTCTGACTTTTTAATAGTTTTTTAAAATTCCAAAAGTAAAAATACATACATGGACATATACTTGTAAAAATCCAACAGTCATCAGTCATCAGTCATCAGTCATACACATTCTATATCCTTTTTTAGAGTAACTCAGTTATATATGGTAGGTATTATTATGACCGTTTGATGGATGAAGAGACACATATTCTCTAATTGAATTACCTTTTAAGTTTTGAGAGTATACATATGAATTCATAATGTCTGTTTATCACCCTTGTATTTGTTTATTTCAGTGGTCAAGGAAGTTTACTCCAGCCTTTTATATACTACAGATTTCTTACTCTTAGATATTCCTCTCGAAGAAATCCATATTGCCGGTAAGCTAGTGACTGATTTAAATCTATTTTATTTTTAAGAATATTGTGAAAATAATAGTATTTGTACCTCTTAAGAGTACTTAGGGGCCCTGGTGGCCAGTGGTTAAGAGCTTGGCTGCTAACCAAAAGGTCAGCAGTTCGAATCCACCAGCCACTCCTTGGAAGCCCTATGGGACAAGAACAATAGTAATACAGGCTAGGTAGATTTACTGGTGAGCCTATGAGTTCACTATGAGTTGGAGTCGACTCAGCAGCAACGGGTTTTGCTTTATTGTATCAGTAACTATAGTAGTTTACAAGAGAGAGAAGTCAGTGAGCCAGAAGACAGAAAAGACTAGGAAGGTTTACAAAATAGAGATTTGTTGAGGGTTAAAGCCTTTGAATAGACAGTGAGAATAGGGAAAAGTGTTTTAGGTAGGGAAACAGTAGGAACAAGTAGATACAAGCCATATTTGAGGGACATTGCATAGAACTGTTTGACAGTAATGGAGATTCTGAATGGTGAGTTATTTTCTAAGATTAGAAAGGTATTTTGGGGCCCTAAGATAAAACTTCTTGAATTCCAGGGTGAGAAGTTTGCAATTTATTCTTAGATGTTTGGGAATAATGATTGTTTTTGACATGATCAGAATATTCTTCTGATAGCCTTGTGCAAAGTAGATTGGAGAAGAAGAGAACAGTGGATTACTGTAGTATTCCAGGAATGTCGCTTAACTTAATATACAGTAAATCATGCATAGCTGATTTTTAATAACTTTAAATATGTTACTCAGATATTAATATTCAGGTTTTCTTTTTTTTTAAATTTAAAATAAATTCATCATGTATAGTAGCGTTCAGCCCAAAATCCAATTAGTGTATTAGGATAGTCTCTCATGTTTTGACAAAGTGAAAAGAACAATTTGAATGCTGGCTCATCATTTACTAGGTGTGTGATTTTAGGTGAGTTATTTAAATTTGAATGTCTTCGTTGGTAGAGCCTTGTCAAATGGTAGGAGTGGCATCGGAACCTGTCTAACTTCAGGGGGGATAATGACCAGGGTCAGCCCAAAACTGATCCCTATGACGTAGAGGTCGGACATATCTCCACTCTCCAACCTTTTTACCAATTCTGACACCAGCTGTCCCTGCCATGGCACTATCTCCTTTTCTGGGTTTGATAATCCATTGCAGTGGCCACACAGAACTCAGACTATACTTACAGTTAAGTGGTTTATTTCGGAAGTAACAGGATACAACTCAGGATCAGGATCAACAGGCTACAGCTGTCGATCAGGATCAGGAAGCATGCAGGCAAAGTCTCCCTTCAGTGCAGAACAGCTCTCTCAGCTTCTCTCAGCTGTGCAAGCAAGCAGGCCCTTCTTTCTGCTGTGCGTGCTCCCTCTCTGCCATGGAGGCCTCTTCTCGGACCCCTCAGGACAGGCCTTATTCTGGACAGATGGCCCCACTGTCTGTCGCCACTGGCTCTTTTGCTGGGCCCCTCCTGGCCCTGTCACTATCTTCAGTGTTACAGCACTTGATCAGCATTACAGCTCTTTTAGGAGGTTCCTTGCCTCCTGTCTCTCTGCTTCTCTCTTCCTTCCTTCTGCCTCTGTTTGCTTTCTTTCTGAAAAACCTTTGTGGGGCTGACTGCATATATACACAAACTCCTCATCAATTTCAAGGCATGGCCCTCCTACCAGGGCCACGAACTGACCAATTCCTTCTCGGTAGGCCAAAGATACTTCAGTTGCATAGGCTACTGGCCAATCCCTGCAAGGTGTGTACCAATCACAGGACGGTCTGCAGCCCAGGACCAGCCAAAAAGTATCAAACCACAAGTTGTTTACAGTTTATCCAGGAGATGTCAGCCAACCTGGACAAAAGTAATAAACCATCTAGGATAGAAAACTAGGGTTTAGGGGGGAAATCTCTCAAGCTGTCTTTCCAAACAACCGAGACAAAAGGCCACATAAAGGAATTCATTTCACCACAACAGTAAAGTGAAATAGTATTTTAAAAGTGCTAAGGATCTGTTAGGTTCTTAATAAATAGTTTATTTTTATTTTCTGCAATTCTGATTATTTCCTTTTGAGGGGATCTTTGTGCTTTTTTTGACAATGTCTTTTTTCCTGAATTAAGAGCTTGCTTATTTTAGACATAAATTCTTCTTCTTTTTTTTTAATTTTTTTTTGTTGTTGAGAATATACACAGCAGAACATAGACCAATTCAGCAATTTCCACGTATAGACAAATGTTTTTAATGAGCCCCTAATGGCAAATAAACCTTCATTTTTACTAGATTCCATGTGTTTTTGCCTTCTTTTCTGTCCATGTATTCATTTCAGACGTTATCTTCAGTACCCTTCCTGACATCCATCTTTGATTAGCAGATTTGCTGCTTTGTGCTTCTTTATACCCCTTTCTTCTCCACTCCTGTTTTCTCCATACATATGAGCAAATCTATAAATTTAGAAGCATTCAGTAGAATGGAAATAAAAGGATAGCAATGGATCAAGAAAACACAAATAAGTGTTAATGAATGTTTTCAAAGGTCTCCAACCAGTATGCATTTTAATCAAAACAGTGGTAAAGTATCAGAAAAGATTTGCGCTTATAAATATTGGTAAACAGACTATAAAAACTATGTTTTCTACATTACACTGTTTTTTTCTACATTACACTATTTTAAGAGCTTTCTGACTGTATCATCAGTTTGTATTACTTTCATCTATCATGTATTTATCTTAAATTGGTGGTGTCTGTCCTTCTGTGTAGATGAGTGTCTAGAGCTGTGCCATCCAATATGGTAGCCAGTAACTGCATTTGGCCATTTAAATTTAATTAAAATTCAAGAAAATACTCAATAGATGGATCCTGATCAAAAGATGAGGGGGATATGGAACAGAATTTCAAATTCCTGTGGAATCCAGGCTTACTGGACCAATTGAGACTGGAGGAACTCCTGAGTCTGTTGCCTTGAGATAGTCTTTAAACCTTGAACTGAAACTATCCCCTGAAGTCATCTTTTCCAAACACAGTTTAGCTCAATAAGTAAACAGTGTTTACCTTGAACATTGCTCTCTTTTAAAGAATTACCTATATGAGATCAAATTGACAACAGTAACTCTAAAGCATAGATGAGGAGTTCAGGGGCCAGGGAGTCTAACTTAATGGGGGTGAAATAATTTGACTAGAGACAGCGAGAGTGAAGACATAACAAAGAATGTAGCCTGTGTCCCTGAGTTGTACGTGTAGAAATTGTTGAATGAGTTTATGTTTTACTATGTATATATTTTCACCAAGAATAAAATATTTAAAAATTCAATAAAATGTAAAACTCAGTTCCTGAGTCACACTAACTACATTTCAAGTGCTCAAAAGCTGATGGCCACTGTATTGTAGAGCGCAGATAGATAACACAGCATTTCCACCATCACCAGAAATTTTGTTGTCAGTGCTGCTCTACAGGAACTCTGATTTGGTCTAATAAAAGAACTGGTCATGTGATTTTAGACTAGACATTGACTTCATTAGGCCTCCTTTGTAGCCCCAGGGAGTTTAACTAGAGTATTTTCAAGGTGCCTTCTAGCTTTATTCATTTGCTTGATTCGTTCATGAAACAGTGATTGTGTGTTGATGATAACATATCTTTGTAGCATTAAAATATCTTTGAAGGTACTTAGAGCTGAGTGAATTAGACAGCTATGGAAGTCAGTGTGATGGTCAGAGGTATTGTGAAAGCAAAGAGAACAGAGACAGACAGATGAGAATTCACTAATATGGTAGTAATTTAAGATCCCTGGGTGGCGCAAACAGTTTGTGCTGACTACTAATCTAAAGGTTGGTAGTTTGAACCCACCCAGCAGCATCACAGAAGAAAGGCCTGGTGATGTGTTTCTGTAAAGATTATTGTTGTTAGCTGCTGTTGAGTAGATTCCAACTCATGGCGGCACCTTGTGTTACAGAGTAGAATTGCCTGATAGGGTTTTCTTTTTTCTTAATAATATTTTAGTGTGTTTTAGGTGGAAGTTTACACAGCATGTTAGGTTCCCATTTAACAATTTTTAGACACATTGTTCGTGACATTGGTTACAGTTGTCACAGTGTGTCAGCATTCTCGTTATTACCATTCTGCTTGTTCTGTTTCCATTGATCTAGCTTCCCTTCCCTTCCTTGCCTTCTTGTCTTTGCTTTTGGGTAAATGTTGTCCATTTGGTCTCATAAAGCTGATTGTTGAAGGGAGCACATTACTCTTGGGTAATAGTGTTTATTTTACAAGCCAATCTATTAATATGGCTGAAAGGTGACCTCCAGAAATAGCTTCAGTTCCAAGTTCAAAGGGTATCGTAGGGCGATAGTCTCGGGGTTCCTGTAGTCTCTATTGGTCCAGTAGGCCTGGCCTTTTTTAGGAATTTGAATTTTGTTCTACATTTTTCTCCCATTCTATCTAGGGCCTTCTATCGTGTCCCTGGCTAGAAAGGTCAGTAGTAATAGCTGAGCACCATCTAGTTCGTCTGGTCTCAGATTAGAAGAGGCTGTGGTTTGTGTGAGCTATTAGTCCTCTGGACTTGTTTCTTCTTTGAGCCTTTGATTCCTTTATTCTTTTTTGCTGCATATGAGTAGAGGCCAGTAGTTATATCTTAGATGGCAGCGTGCAAGCTTTTAAGACCCCAGAACAAACTAGGATGTAGAACACATTATCTTTATGAACTATGTTACGTCAGTTGACTAAGTTGTCTGCCGAGTTTATGGTCCTAAGCCTTTTAACCCAGTAAACCAATCCCCTGAGTTGTTCAGATATGTCTAGGAAGCCTCTGTAACGATGCTTACTGTATACTTTATTATTTACATGGATGTATATGCGGCACACGCAAAGCGTATATACATATGCCTACAGGTACACCTATACGTGCACATGCATTTACTCACGTATGCCTTCTTATACACATATATTTTATGTATGTGTCTTCTTATGTACATATATATACATACGCATATGTATCTGTCTACGTAACCAAACACGTATTTTTTGTTTGTTGTTACTGTTGTTGCAAAATTGTCTGTGCTATAGCATTTACCGTAATTGTCCTTTTTTCTTGTGTACTTTTTTGTGTCTTTATTTACCTTGGTCAAGTTGTGCTGACTTCACTGCATTTGGTATTGCCTTTCCCATCACCAAGTAAGCATCTGTGAGTGGGAATCAACTGGACGGCAATTGGTTTGTTTTTTTTTTTTTTTGGTATTATCTAGAAAGTGATTCCCTTTCCTCTCATCTCTGGTAACCTTCAAAGAATGTTGCTTTCTGTGTGTATATCCTTGACTTTTTATAAAAGTGGGACCATACAGTATTTCCCCTTTTGTGATTGACTTATTTCACTCAGAGTAATGTCTTCTAGATTCATCCATAAGATGTTTCACAGACTCCTCATTGTTCTTTATAAAACAAAAAACAAACCCCTTGCCGATGAGTCAATTCTGACTCATAGCAACCCTATAGAACAGAGTAGAACTGCCCCACCATAGGGTTTCCAGGGAGTGGCTGGTGGATTTGAACTGCAGACCTTTTGGTTAGCAGCTGAACTCTTAAGCACTGTGCCACCAAGGCTCCCGTTCTTCTTTATAGTTTTGTAGTATTTATTCCATTGTATATACGTACCACAATTTGTTTATTCATTCATCGACTGATGGGCACTTAGGTTGTTTCCGTCTTTTTGCTATTGTCAGTAATGCTGCAGTGAACGTAGATGTGCATATGTCTATTCGTGTCAGTGCACTTATATCTCTTGGATATATGCCTAGGAGTGGGATTGCTGGATCATAAGGTATTTCTATTTTTAGCTTTTTGAGGAAGTGCCATACCGTTTTCCATAGTGGTTTTACCATTTTACAATCTCATTAGCAATGTATAGGAGTTCCAGTCTCCCCACAACCTCACCAGCATTTGTTGTTTTCTGTTTTTTTGATCATTGCCATTTTTGCAGGGGTGAGATGGCATCTCGTTGTAGTTTTTATCTGCATCTCTAATGACTAGTGATTACAAGCACCTTTTCATGTATTTGTTGGCCTTCTGAATGTCCTCTTTGGTGAAGTGTCTGTTCATGTCAATAGTGTTTTCTTAGCTATAATTTTAACAGAAGCAGATCACTAGGCCTTTTCTTCTGCGGTACTGCTGAGTGGGTTTGAACTGTTTCGAACTGCCATCCTTTAGGTTAACAGTCAAGCGCAAACCATTTGCACCACCTGGGGACCTTCTGTAAAGATTACAACTAAGAAAACCCTATGGAGCAGTTCTACTCTGTAACATATGGGGTTGCCACGGGTTGAAATCGACTTGATGGCACAGGTTCGGTTTTTTGGTGGTAATTTGAACTAATTTTTTTGAAGTCTGAGTCTGTTTTGTGCCTGGCAGGCACGTAGGTGCCTGAAAGTGCTTGGCATACCAGTGGTTGTATGTTGCTAGAGTTCAGGAAGTATATATCAAGATCTCTGTTGGGAAGGTAGGGTTTGGATTTCATTTTGAGGGATGGAAAGCCTTTGAAGTTTTAACATGGGGGGAGGTTGGGAATGATGAGATCTGATTTAGGAATATATTCCAGAAGATGGATTGTAGGCTTATCAAGAGGAGAAGACGACCAATTTGAAGACTGTTAGAGTAGTCCAGTTAAGATAATATGAGAGGCTGAACTCATCCAGTGGTAAAGGAAGAGAAAGGATAAATTTGAAAGATATTTAGGAGGTAGGATCTTAGGGCTTGGGGAGGAAGAATGAGATAAAGACCTCCACGTTCCTGGCTTGGAAATCTAAGGGAGTTATGATTAATGGTGTTGTCACTAAGATAGCAGATACAAGGAGGAGGGCAGGTTTTTGGATAAATGTGCATCTTTCCAAATTTTCTTCCTTTTTTTTGAGAGAATATTAAATGTTTTTTTTAAAAACAGATTTACTGCTTTTTTTTCTAAATAAAGGTAACACTGGATAAAGAAAAATAGAATAAGAGTTGTAGGGCTTATGTTCTTGAGTCAGTATATAAGGTGAAAATTGTGACTAGTCAAAATTACCCTTGATAATCCGTCAAATCACTAACAATTTACAGTATAATATATGGGATTTGGTGTATACTAGTCTGTACAATATATGTGTGATTTATACAGTAATGCACAATATGTAATAAAGAGTACTTTGTAGGCATCGAGCATAAAAGCAAAGTCCACATCCTGTTTTGGGCATAAGCATGCAGCATAGCTGGAATTTAGGAGTTGTGGCAGGCAATGAAGCAGAAAATTAGGTTGACACCAGATTGTAGAGGGCTATAGATGTTTTGCTGAGAAATTGGGCTTTAATCTGAAGGCAAAAAAGAGCCAGTTTGCTCTTTCATTGAACATGTACTGTATTGTCTCATTTAAACATCACCACGACTCTATAATAAAGTACATATTCCTGTTTTACAGATGAGGAAAGCTCTAAGAGGCATGTTCATTTAATAAATAAGTGGTATTGCCTGTATAATTTTCTCTCTTGCTGTCTTTTTTAGAGCTAGTTTAATTTGCCTAAGTTAAGTGTGAGAATGATATGACTCTACTATAAAGAAGAAAATATAAAACCATTCCTAATCTCATCCTTCAGAGACAGCCATTTAGTAAATGCTTTTGTTAAATGAACTTTTCCACTCAAAAAAGACACAAGTGTTGACTTTGACGATTTTATTGTATGTGTTTGTTCCCAAAATGCGTCATAGTTATTTTAACTTTTTAAAATTCTTCAATGGTTGTGGAAAATTCTTCATTAGCATTTCCTAGCATTATGTTGCTTTTTCCTTATGTTTCTGAAAGATAACAATTTTATTTTGCAGGACCTTGTTTAATGAACTGAGGATTGTTGTTGAACAGATAATAATGAAACCTGCTTGCCCCCTGTTTGTGAGAAGACTTTGTCTCCAGAGCATTGCCTTTATAAGCAGACTGGCACCAACAGTTGCATAGTTTAATATCCAGTTAAGTTATATGTAATATAAGCATTATTAGCAGCTGGTACTTCTGCTAGGGGGTTGTAAATTCCAGGTGTCACACTGACCTCAATCCAATTTATATAATTTATATAAATGCATCTCAGTGGAAAAATAATCATTTTCCTGGCATGTTAAATCAAGCCTTTTTAAAGTTTCTGAGAAAATTTTACAGTGCTGCGTTGGTAATGGTTAAAGAAGTTTGTATCTTGTGATAAATGTACCAAATTTGTTTTAGATGCTGCTGTGCCTCTATCATGAAGTACATTGATTTCTCTTTTAAAGAAAAAAAAACTCAACCTAACTGGTAACCTGAGTTTATATCTGGCATGAGTTCATTATGGTAATATTAATACATGTGAATTCAGTATATTTTGAGACAGTGTTCTTTTGCCATTCAGTAATTTTGGTTGATGATGTTAGTAGTGCATTTCCCACTGAATTTAACTTCAGGTTGCTATTAGATTGATTTTTGTGCTGCTTTGATAGGACAGATTCATTTGGATGTACCATTAGAAGAGAAATTCTGTATGTATCTTACTGTGACCTTCCAAGCTTTATTTCCTTAAATACTTGTGGCTTTGAATATTTAAAAAAGAAAAGAAAGAAAAAAGCTGAAATATAAGCTTGTTAACTGATTAGATAAATATTTGGAGTCATTTAACCGTTTTACAACAGAAAGCAATACACAGCTTTCCTTTGAGTAATGTTTCTCAAATAGGAAATCTGTTTATAAATGTGGACACACAGGTTATTGGTATTATTATAGTTTGTAGAATTAACCTAGCTCTGATTCTTGACAGCCAGTCTTCTCAGTTTCTCAGGCTTGGATTTTCGGGCACCTTTTGAAAGGAATGTAACTGAAGATTGAGGATATGTCCCCCAACTATACTTGGTGTCTGTTCTGAAATAATAATGAAGATTATTCTATAGATTACATTTACCCATCAAATCTGATTGAAAAGGTTAAATGAAAAGGTTTATAGGTAAAGTAATTGGTTGAGAATGGGGTTGGCGGAGGAGTTGTGGGGGAATAGTGCACATAGATAAATTTGGGGAACTGGGTGCATTATGCAAGTGTGATTTGGGTTGTGTGATATATTAAATCCCGTTGAGCTTCTCTGAACTCCTTTATAAAATTGATTTTGATCTTTATTACTATTGCACGATTAGAAATGTTTAAAACATTATAAGATTTTAGTACAGAGTAATGTCATGGTTTTTGTAGCTGATTTTCTTCTGTCTGCATGTAATTTGGATTTATCAAATACATTCATTAGTAACTTAACAATAACATCAGTTTTCTTTTTGTTCAACCTCCAAATCTAGACAAAGATGATATTCTTATTGTAGATTACAAAAAGTTCTATTTGATAGTTCTTCCTTGCTTGAAGTCAGCTGTAATTAGCTATTTTTGTATTTTTGTAAGATTATCTACAAAGTTGGAGAAGCAGCTCATAATATAGAGTTGAGTGTGTGTGTGTGTGTGTGTGTGTGTGTGTGTCTAGCCTCATTATCACCATATATGTAATCTGGTAGTTTAAAACCTAAAATTTCTAGAGCAATAAAGTGACTATAAAGTTAAGTAAACAGCATATTGTTGATTTCTAATGATGTTTTAAAAAAGTTTTGAAGTGTATCAAGTTTTGGCAGCTGAAGAAGACATTTATTTTGAAATTACTAGGTTTTTTTTTTGTTTTCTATAATTTTTTTTAATCTTGAGATAATCTTAGATTTATAGAAGAGTTGCAACAATAGTACAGAGAGTTTCCTGTATATCCTTTATTCGTCTTCTCCTTGTGTTAACATCTTACATAACTATAGAACATTTGTCAAAACTAAGGAATGAACTCTGGAACAATGCTATTAACTAAAGTAAAGAACTTATTCAGACTCGCTAGTTTCTCCATTTTTTATTTTCTTTTTGTGTGCTTTGTTTTTACCATGACCATCTTTTAATAACCTGTAAGTATGTGTCTTTTTTTTTTAGTTTTTTCTCTTTGTTTTGAAAATCAAAAAGATTTTCACAAAGGATATAAATTCATGTTGGTTTTAACATTAAAATTACTGCAAATGAAAACACTGCTTTAAATTGAGACTGTCACAACTGGATTATAAATCTCTGATATGCTTATGTTTGAATGGAAATAGAGATTTGGTTGGTCATTAAAGGAAGGCACGGTTTATAATAAAACACTCCTAAACTCCTGAAAAAGTAAATTTTACAATTTGAGCAATACTAGATGTTTAGTTTGCATGAAATTATAGTTAGAAATTATACAGTATGAATATGTACAACCAGCTTATTTGGCATTGAAATTATAGTGTAACATGTACAGTTATCCAATTAAAATTAAGGAAATATAATAGCAGTATATAGAATGAATGTGGTTTAAGAAATTAACTTTTATTGCATAGCTAAACTTATTTTTACTTACAGGTTTAAAAGAAGTTGATTTAACATTCAGAATATCTTAATTCTTCAGGAAGTGGTATAGTACCATTTTTCTTTAGTACTTTTATACTGAAGAAACCCTCTTGGACAGGTAGAAGCCTAATATAAAACCTGCTTTATTCTATATTACTTTTGTATACTTGATTCTTCATGAATTTAAACTCTTTTAATATCAGTCAAAAGACATTTCTTAAATACAATTTGTATGTAAATTTTTTTGGAATGAGCATCACTGAGATAGATGCTCCTGAAAGAAAGCCAGAAAGAATACTAACCTTAGTATTTTTTCTGAAATAAATTTGGATGTTTAGGAAGCTCCTGTACAGAGAAAATCAAGACATGCTAATTTTAAAGCAGAGGTTATGGATGATCAGTGGCATCTGTCATATAACCAAGATTTGCAAAGCTGTTAATTAGAATGCTTCCTAAAAATAAGGATCAAAAAATTCAGGTTAGGTGTAGAGGTTTAGGATATAAATATTGTTCATCCTGGAAAGGAAAATGAGTGTACGTATATAATAAGCAGAACTGAAAGATTTAATTTTAAAAATGTTTCAGTAGAGTGAAATTATTTTGAGGGATGGTGGTAAAGATCCTTAACGAGTATTAAGGAATTTATTTTGATTAATATAGTTATTCTGAACCCCCTCTTCCTCAATTAGGATCTGCTAGTCTCAAAGCTCTCACTCAAAATAGACTAATTTTGATACTTATTCAGAAATAAAAACCTCAAGGGAGAAAGTAGCCACATACAGTTATGTTTATAATCAGTAGGTGGCACTCTTTCCTCAAGTAGCCCCCAGTTGTTTCAGATGCAGTGTTGAAAGGTCGCTAAAAGTGCTTGAGTCAGCCGTAAAACTAAGAATCTGTACTTCACGGCCCTTTTAATGTGTAATTATTTCATGTTCAATGCATATTTAGTAAACATTTACTATTCATAAATGTTCAAAACTGGAAGAAGTACCCTATCAATATCTGTTTTCTAAGAAAACAGTAAAATAGGCCACAGTTGGGAGTGGCCTTACTCAGATCATGGTCCGTTTTGTTTTGTTTTGTCATTCTAAGTGCCTGACTCATCTAAACACATCATTATAAAACCATTCTTGCTCCTTCTGTATTTTCAGGCTGGTAGACACATGTTACTTAAAATTTGTTCATTACCGTTTGGTAGGTATACTAGATACAGCAGTTCAACTTCTTTTAAAAATCAGACTTTTCACAGTAATTCAAAACCGTAGTGAATTTTTTGGATATTCTATCAAGAATGGTAACTAGATTTGAAAATTCATTTTGAGTTGACGAGGCAACTGGTTTCTCTCAACACCTTGTTGGAATTTCTCTAGGGTTAGGAGAATTCCACAGAGGCTATATGATAGTATAGCTCAATAGATGGTATACCAAAGGCACATAAATTCAGGAGTTAGTCCCACGGATTGTTTTAATGAGCAGACTTCATAATATTCTGGGTGGGAGATTATTATTGGGCATTGTATTAAGTATAATGAAAGAACTGATAGAAGATTGGGGAGGTTTCTTGGGAGTAATTATTTTTGGAAATGTTTATCTTCTGACGTGGTATTCAGGTGGGGTTCTTTCGCAGGAACCCTTTCCAGTGTGTGGGACTAACTCCACTAGCCTTTTGTCTCCTGTGCATATAGGAAAACTGACCTGTGTTGAGTTTGAGTTGATGTGACAAGATGTAATGAAAGTGCAGTATTTTTTAAATCTAAAACAGATTCTTAGGAAAGGATAGGAAAAAATTATAAACAGATATATTTGCTGGAATCTAAAAAGCACCTCATGTTCTGGAAGAAAGAACGGGCCCAAGAATCATTTTACTTTTTCCTGCATAACTTCATTTGAAACTATTTTTTTGATGTGCTTAGCACTTTGAAATTAACTTTCTTTTCTCAGTTCATGACAGTTTAATGTCAAACTTTTACTCTTGTTCCTTTGTAACTTTGAAACAGAACAGTTCCTTCTTCGCATGAAATTTTGCCTACCTATGTATAATATTTGTGAGTTGAGGCCAAATAGGCAAAGTGTTGGGCAGGTGACATTTATGATGTGTGTATATTGGAACAAATGTAAAAGGGTTGCAAAGATTAGAAACAGTCATAAAAAAAAAAGATTTATAAATGCATTACTTCTGGTGCTCTATATAATGGGATATATTGAAGTAAAAAATTTGTATATGCAGTATGTCAGCATTTCTTAATAACTTCTCTCAAATCCATTTTTAATATCTAATATTGTACAGGTTGGGGAGTTTTACTCTTCAGGCCAATACTATCCAGACTGTATAAATTTATAAAATAAATTGAAAAATTCATCATTCCCCTGTATTCAAGACCAAAGCACATAAATGCTAATATAGGGCTCAGAGGGAAAATATAGTTCTCCTGCATATTTGAGAAAATGTGAAGCCCTTTCAAGAAAATCTAATAAACATAATAATCATAGCCTGCTGACACTAAGGAAAAAGGACCTCATTCGCTCTTCTATGCAGCGATTTACTGGTCCCTACTGATTTCCAAATTGGATCACTGTAGTAAATTATCCACGCTGGCACCTGTGAAAGTAAGCTCTGGGATCCGTATTTGTTCTGTGTTCTGCTTAAATCAGCAAGAATGATAAATTTGATGGTGTGAAATTGGAAGTACCAAGGGCTTTCTTTGGTGATTGAGCAAAATAATGTCTCCACTTGTAATTGATTGTGACCCTTTCTCACTGTATGGGCTTTGTATGTCAAATATTTATTTCAATACAAATTAAATTGTTGTTCCTTCATCTGTATTGTTATAGCTAAGATTTTACTGATGTAAAAGTCAAATTGTGTAATAAAAGTCTCTGGATTTAAACAGGTTTTAAAATGTTGCATTACAAAAGAACATTTACAGTTAGAATTCAGATTTCCTTTGCCTTAGTTGCCTTATTATTATAATATGGTGAATTTAAACATACTTTATTGTCCCCAGCCCATCACAGATTATAGAAATACTGTGATTTTGTGGTCTAATGGTAAAACTGAAAAAAAGAAAAAAAAACAGTTAAATTACAGTGGCTCTCTCTGTTGCTTTTTTGCTTCTGTGCTTTCTGTGTAGTGGGTTCCACGTTTATAGCATAACGGATGAGTTATTTATGACCCTAAAATGATTCACAGTATACAATATCTCCAAAGTGATAAATCAACACCAGACAACATAGAGGAATATTATTTCCCTTCTCGGTGTTTAGAGTTCGTGGATATTTTCTGTGGCATTTTAACAACTGTGGTACTAAGCAATACATTGCACAAAGAGGATTAAACAAATCCTTATCCACTTGGAGATTATAATCTAAAAAGAATTATGTAAATCAGTTGTATAAAAGTAATTCTGATAGGTGACTAAACATTGAACTAGTTAATAAATTAGTTGTCCACATAAGGGGAAAAGTGTTTGGTAGCCTGATGAATGAAAAGAGTCTAAGGAAAATTGATTTCCTAAGATTTAGTGTATAGGGTGTTAGGGACATGCTTGTTGTTGACTCATAATGCTCTTTCCTTTAGCATATGGGAACATTTGGAGCATTTATAAAATAATTCTGAGCTTGGGAAGGGAAAGGTCATCTTACTCCTCGAGGCTGGTTGACTGAAGAGACTCCTGAAAGAAATAGTGAACTGAGATCCTGGAAAGGAGTAGAGGACTTACTAGTCTTAAAGCAGGTGAGGTATCAACAACGGTCATCTTTTTCTTTTTTTCTTCTTACGGAGAATTTTGAACATGTACAAAAATAGAGTAATGAACTTCCACATTCTTAATCACCCAGCCCTCACAATTGTCAGCCATGGGCAACACTGCCCCATCTCCCTTTCCCTCTCCTGGTTTATTTTATATCGAATATAAGTAAAATTTGCAGTATGTACCTCTAAAAGATAAGTATCCTTTTTAAAATCAATATTTAAAAAGTAATAATTAACATAAGTCATTTAGAGTGGATGACTAGACATGATTAAGAGTAATGACCTGATATGAAAAAGACTTACATGGTTTTACAACTGTAAACATGAAGGGAAGAGAAAACAAGTATTTTTTTTAGTCAAGGGAAGACTTCTTTCCCTATACTGCTCCCCTCAGAGGAAGACACAGACCAACACCTCCACCCTCTTGGGGAAATGATAGAAGGAAGATTTTGCTTTTCTACTCTTCGCTCTCTCCTTCCTAAAGGAGATAGTGTATCCAAAGATTCTTACTGGAAAACCTGGGATTGTGGGATTTTGATTGGTCATCTCACAAGAAATATAATGGGGGCAGGTCACTTCTTCAAAGGAAGTGGCCACTGTTAACCAGAAAAGGGGGGAAGTAATTTAGGGTTATATCACAAATTAAGGGAGTTATACCAGAACCAGTGTCTTCATTAAAATTGCTTTTAATAAACTGTAAATATTTCCAGACACTTGGTGGAATTTAGATCAATTTATTCTCAATTTTTGTGTATTTCCTGGTTTTATATTTTTAATACTTAGCGTTTGTGGTATTTTTCATTAAATTTTTCAAATTTGGAGCTCTACAACCATTATAATCTAGAGTTCCAATAGTAATGGGTCATTTCATTCAAGTAACAATAACCAAAGAACCTCAAGACAAAGAAATGAAACTTGCTGTGATACAGAATAAAATGTGGGTCTATCTCCTTTTGGTTATTAACCTGTAAAAGATAACATTGATACACTCTGGTTTCTTGGATATGAACTCCAATGGTACTTATGCTGTGAATGATGATGTTCATGCTTGGCAGTTTAACTAGTAATATCTAAAGCATATAGTTCATCTTTTGAAGTGTTCAGAAATTACCTTTCTTATCCCTTTATCTAGAAGGCTAAACTTCTTTTTTTGGACTTACTGTACTAGTGGGCTTATTTTGAATTATTCTTTCTTATATGAACTTTCTATTTCTGTTCCCTGAGGACAGTCCTCAATTTCAAAACAAAAGCAGAAGAACATTTCTTACAAAAATATTGGAACCATTTTTAGAAGAATATTTTGCCTTGGGTTCTTTTATATTTTTAGTTATGTGAATAAATTTCTGAGAATAAACATGTTTTTTCAAAATGAGTAATTAAATATTTATCCTAATAGGAAACTACCAGAGGGGGTTTTTTTTTGTCTGTTAATATTGCAGCAAAGTCAGGATCTGTAAGGAGACTTATTACAACTATATTTGGGTTTTTATGTTCATTATACTTGCTGTAAGGACCCTAGTAACACAGTGCTTAAGCGTTAACCAAAAGGGCAGCGATTTGAACCCACCAGCTGCTCCACCAAAGAAAGATGTAGCAGTCTACTTTTGTAAAGATTTACAGCCTTGGAAACCCTGTGGGGCAGCTCTGCTCTGTCGTGTAGGGTCACTCTGAGTTGGAATTGACTCGACGGCAATGGATTTGGTTTTTTTGGTTTTATACTTGCTACAAAATGGTTTCGTGGCAGCTATAAGTATTATATATAGATAATTATATGTAAATAACATGCTTTTAACAACTTACCAGTATCTTAGCCTTTTGACATTTAAATGTACAAATAGCGTTGAAGCAGATTTATAAAATCATTCTTAGTTTACTTATTTTCTATATGTTGGTAGTTAACAGATTTTCAATATTAAAACATTAGAATCTTCCTCTGATTACAAGCAAACTGCCCCTGGTGGCAAGTTTTCTGAAAAATAATTCTAGTGCCTCTCATTTTGCATACGATAAAAAACCATACACTTGATTTTATTTTCAGTTGGATTTTACATTAAACAATCTAATCAAGTTTTAAAAAAGAGTATGAAAAGGCTTCTTATGATTTCAACCTTTTAATGTTATTTAAAAAAAGTTAAAAGGTTGAAATCTTAAGAAGCTTTTCCATACTTTAAAAACAAAAAATACCACCTGTCAGTTTGTCATGCTGTAGTTGCTTGCATGTTGCTGTGATGCTAGAAGCTTGTCACCAGTATTTCAAATACTAGCCAGGTCACCCATGGTGGACAGGTTTCGATGGAGCTTCCAGACTGAGACTAAGAAGAAAGTCCTGGTGATCTACTTCTGAAAGTCAGTCAATGAAAAACTTAGGGATCACAAAAGAATACTGTCTGATATAGTGCTGAGAGATGAGCCCCCTAGGTTGGAGGGCACTCAAAATACATCGTAGTTGCAGCAAGGGACTCGAGCATACCAACAATTGTGAAGATGGCACAGGACCAGGCAGTGTTCCTTTGGGTGTACATGGAGTCTCTCATGAGTCAGAGCGGACTGGACAGCCACTAACAACATTATAATCAAGTGTTTTAAACCATTATCATTGGATAATCACTGCTAGTTTTCGAGCTAATCAATTTTTTCATTATATTCGGGAGACAGTAGACTGACTTTTTTCTGTCTGAGGAACCAGAATAAAATAGTTATGCCCAGTTCCACAGACCAGTCGGCAGGAATTCCTGACTGGTAATTTTTGAAGGAAATCGGAGTACAGCCCTCATTCAGACTGTGTTCACTGAGTGAGTGCCCATTTTTACATTCAAAGTGACTTGACAGTCTGAGAAGACAGCAGCCCATGGTTGATCTTGAGGATAGCATGATAATTTGAGTATTCATATGATTAGTTCTTTCTTTTTTAAAACTTGTAGAATAAATGATTCAGGACTTAGGAGAGGCTTCCATCCATTTGCTGTTTGTCCAAAAGCAGCAGCCTCTGAAGGTGGTCGTAGATAGTCTTACACATCTTCAAGGTTTTGAGCAAGGATAAGAGGAGCTACTCTTGTAAATGAACATTTTTGGTCATCAGTAGTGTTTCTCTAATAAGTGGATCTCATCCAATTGCCATGCCAAGAAAAAAAATAGTATTGCATATCGACTTAAACCAAATATTTTGTTTCTTTTGTCTGGAAGTAATATTACAGACATTAGTGGAACCTAAAACCAAAAAAAAAGTCGTCTTTGAGTCAGTTCTGACTCATGGTGACCCCATGTATGTCAGAATAGAACTGTGCTTCGTGGAGTTTTCAATGGCTGAATTTTCGGAAGTAGCCAGGCCTTTCTTTGACTTGAATCTCCGAACCTTTCAATTAGCAAGCAAGCACATTAACTGCTTGCACCATCCAGGGACTCCCAGTAGAACCTAATGCTGGTTAATTTTAGTGTTATTTCAGTATAACTTTTGATTTATAAACTGTCTAGCCCATCTCTTATATTTTCACTTTTTATTCTCATATTAAATAGAATATACAGAAGCCCTTCTGAAGAGTATAAAACAAGTTTGAGTTATCATAATTAACCACTTAGTAAATCTGGTTGTAAATCACAGCGAAAGTCACATAG